AAAAAAAAAAAAAAAAAACCGGCCGGGTCTTTAATACAGGAATCGGAAAGCCGGACTCGGATCACGATCGCTGCTGGCTGGGCTTCCTTTTCCCCTCGTGTGCCACCTTCCCGTCGTCATCCGTATCACCTCTCCCGCCTTTTTCGCCTTCCTTCCTTCTCCTCCGACAGAAAAGAATTGGGTCGCAGATATGGTCCTGGAAATCCCTCTACGGCGGTTTATGCGCTCGATCAACAGCAGGTATATTTACGGGAGAGTGGTACGTATCACACACACTCCACACACTTGGGTGGCGGCGGCTGCTGCCAGCTGGGCTTTCGGCAGCCGAATCGCCCACGACGGATAGTAGATAAGGCTGATACAATACATTCTTCGCGATAGCCACTTGTACACCTTATCATCTCTCTCATCGAACTCGCCATGATTGGGAGACTGGCCGCCAAATTTAATGGCTACTATGCCGACCGACCAGGTGCGCTGCTGCATTTACGTGACGTACCGATGGATGACGAGTGTATACTGATCGCTCTGGCAGTTCTCACGATGATGATCACGAACGCGCTCCTGGGAGGCATCGCCGACACGGTCGCACAATCCATCACCGCAATCCGGCAAGCAGCAATCCGCAAGCCAGGAGGAATTACAAAGGATGACACGCTGGCGATTGAGATCCACGACCTGGACCGCAAGGGCACCCTGAACGATCATGACCTCATCCCGGCTTCGAAGATCCTCCCACCGCCCTTCGACTTCGAGCGGCTGACACGGTTCATGGCGTACGGGTTCATCATGGCACCGGTGCAGTTCAAGTGGTTCCAGTTCCTGTCGCGGGCCTTCCCAATCACGAAGACGAGCGCGTTGGGCCGGGCGCTGAAGATGGTGGCGATGGACCAGCTGGTATTTGCGCCGGTCGGCATCGCCACGTTCTTCACGGTCATGACTGTTGCGGAGGGGGGTGGTCGGCGTGCCGTATCGCACAAGCTGAGGGACATGTATCTGCCAACGCTGAAGGCAAACTTTATGCTTTGGCCGCTGGTGCAGATCATCAACTTCCGGATCATGCCTCTGCAGTTCCAACTGGTGAGTTCGCACAGCTTTTGAATGTGGACATGGTCTAAGTGTTTCATATGCTGACTCGTTTCAACTGCATAGCCGTTTGTATCGACCGTCGGTATTGCCTGGGGGGCTTATCTCTCTCTATCCAATGCAGCTGAGGATGCAATGGAAGATCGGTCAGCTCCTCCATCGCCGAACATCCGTTTGCTCTGATTGATTTTCCGTTCAGGTTGGAGAAGGACTAGAGTGCCACAGACAGCACGGCAATAGGGAGTCGGCGTTTACATCATGAAACTGGGGCTTTGAACATGGCTGCCGACGTGCCAACGGATTGACGAAATTGAAAGGAAAGGGACAAGCCAGCCGACTAGCTGTGGAACTCATGAAGAGTGGCGTTGCTGGGTTTGCAAAGGGAATTGTACATTGGGAGACAGATTGAATTTTTATAGGGCACTCTTGTGAATTCCTTGCCAGCTCTGCAATGTCACCTCGCACTTTCTGGTCAAAAGAAGCAAAGAAATGCGTTGAATCTCATTTGGTACTTCGTCCCAACTGTTGATAGCTGCCCAGGTAAATAAACGGGCCGAAATTATCCGAGCTTGAGACACCCCACCATGACGAGGGGTAGATCCTCTGATCCTCTAGCTCTTTGCTTCCATACCACGTCAAACCATTGAACTTCTTCCTACGAAGGGTCCCCTCACCTCTCTCTTCTAATCACTTCAAATATCTCTTCCAAGAATCCAAGTCACAATCTACCAAAATGTCTCTCTCAAACAAGCTATCCATCACCGATGTTGACCTCAAGGACAAGCGGGTCTTGATCAGAGTAGGTTGCCCTTCCTATTCCGCCAGTAACGTATTAATGACGTCTCTGATGACTTCCAGGTCGATTTCAACGTCCCCCTCGACTCTGACAAGAAGATCACGAACAACCAACGTATTGCCGGAGCCATCCCAACAATCAAATATGCGATCGACCACGGAGCCAAGGCCGTGGTCCTCATGTCCCACCTCGGCCGCCCAGACGGAAAGGTACAGGAGAAGTACTCGCTGAAGCCCATCGTGCCGGAGCTCGAGAAACTGCTGGGCGGCAAGAGCGTAGAGTTCGCCCCCGACTGCGTCGGCAAGGAGGTTGAAGATATCGTCAACAAGGCCAGCGGTGGCCAGGTGGTTCTCCTAGAGAACCTGCGCTTCCACGCAGAGGAGGAGGGCAGCTCCAAGGATGCGGATGGGAAGAAGGTTAAGGCGGACAAGGCTAAGGTCGAGGAGTTCAGAAAGGGACTCACTGCTCTCGGGGACATCTTCATCAGTAAGTTCCTACTTTGCACTGCGTTTTAGGGGCTTGACAATAGCTGATTTTTTTGGTGCACAGACGATGCTTTTGGAACTGCGCACCGTGCTCATAGCTCTATGGTGGGTGTTGATCTGCCGCAGAAGGCCTCTGGGTTCCTTATGAAGAAGGAGCTGGAATACTTTGCCAAGGCCCTCGAGAACCCCCAGCGTCCCTTCTTGGCTATCCTGGGAGGAGCCAAGGTTTCCGACAAGATCCAGCTGATTGACAACCTGCTCGGCAAGGTCAACAGCCTGATCATCTGCGGGGGCATGGCTTTCACTTTCAAGAAAACTCTGGAGAATGTCAAGATTGGCAACAGTCTATTCGACGAGGCTGGAAGCAAGACTGTCGGTGATCTTGTGGAGAAGGCTAAGAAGAACAATGTTGAGCTTGTTCTTCCAGTCGACTACATCACTGCCGACAGCTTCTCCAAGGACGCAAAGACCGGCGCTGCTACGGATGGGGAGGGCATTCCTGATGGGTGGATGGGTCTGGACTGTGGACCCAAGAGCATTGAGCTCTACAAGGCTGCAATCAGCAAGGCTAAGACCATCCTCTGGAACGGTCCCCCAGGCGTGTTTGAGTTCGATGCTTTCGCAGTGGGTACTAAGGCTACCCTCGATGCCGCAGTCGATGCCGCACAAAGCGGGAAGATTGTCATCATTGGTGGAGGTGACACTGCAACCGTCGCTGCGAAGTACGGGGTCGAAGACAAGCTCAGCCATGTGTCTACCGGAGGCGGCGCCTCTCTCGAGCTGCTCGAAGGCAAGGAGCTCCCGGGTGTCACTGCTCTTTCGAGTAAGTAAAGTGTTTGCCAGAGAAAATGGCATCTCTCTGATCCCCGTTAAGGCCGTCCGAGCAAGTCCAGCCTATGAGGAGGTCTTAGGAGGCCCGTTCGTACATAGCTCACATCACGTCTAATGGAAATACCTATTTTTTCCCTTTTGGATCTTCTGATCTTGGCCGAAAGTCGAAAACCAGTGATGCCATTGTATGCTTGCTAACCTTAAGCGGTAATCTCTCTAATAACCCCCCAAACTCCCATTGCATTGGTGCGCATCTCTTGGTCTGCCAAATTCTCTCTCGTCAACGCTTCTTGCTCGCCTCGACCTTCTTCAACTCCTCCCTGTGTCCCGATTGATGATTAGCTTGTGGCCTGTTTGTTTTTCTCGTTCCTTCGGGCTACAGATGGGTAGGGATCAGCCTCAGCCTACTCACTTCAGCTGCGCCGAGAAGTCCTCGCTGGTATCGTCGTCGTCCCAGCTCTCCTCCCACAGATGCGTGTTGCTGCTGCTGCCTGGCACCTCGGCCTCCTCCTGCGACCAGTCTGCCCGGACTCGTTAGCCTCCGTCATTATCATCATCATCATCATCAATATCAATATCATCATCAATATCACCACCGGCCAGAACACAGAGCTCTGCAACCTCTGCGTTGCTCCACCAGAGGGGGAGGAGCGCGACTTTTCATTCTCGTGTTCGCTGGGGAACTGGAGCTGGGGCTGGAGCTGGGGCTGGAGCTGGAGCTGGAGCTGGAGCTGGAGCTGGAGCTGGAGCTGGAGCTGGAGCTGGAGCTGGAGCTGGAGCTGGGGAAAGGGGGAGGGGTGCTGGGTCGAGACGTAGACGTGAATGTAGACGTACTCTCGACGGGGAAATCCTCAAACTCGTCGTCCTCCTCCAGCGCGGCGGTGGGCTTGGTCGTGTCCTTCGCGGCGTCGGCGCTCTTGCTCTTGTCTGAGGAGGTGGCCTTCGCGGCGCCTGGGGCGGGGGCGGCGGACATGGCTGGGGGGCGCGTCGCGTGCGAGAGTGTCGATGGAGATTGAGAGGTAGGGGTAGAGGTAGAGGCAGAGGCAGAGGCAGAGGCAGAGGCAGAGAGGCAGAGGGTTGGGGTTGCGGAGCCTGTTTGTTTATCTTGTCGTTGCAGGTGTGTTTCGGTTTATTCGATGCGAGGCCGAGCTTTGCTGCTGCGCTGCGAGAAGCTTGGAGCTTGCTTGAGCTTGATCACAACACAGTCAGTAACTTGCTGCAACCGAGAAAAAACGGTCGGTCCGTGAGGAATTCCAGCTCCGCCTCAGGACGGAAGGACGATGTGGGGGTCACGACGTAATCGAAGGCTTGTTTTCTACTTTTGAAGATGGAGGGATCGTAGGGCTCCCCGGCGATTATCAGGAATTGTATTGCTTCAATGTTACCGTACTCACTCACATTGTTTCTGCGATCTAGGTAGTTTGCATTGTCGCCACCCCCCTTATGCGACTCACTCCGTTTACACCGGGCGCCCACACTTGGACCACTTGCTCACTGACTCTTCTTGCCCTCGGGCTCTGCATCTCTCTTCTCAACTCGCTGACCCATCCCTATCAATAAACATTCCTTCCATTTTCCTTGATCACCTCAGAAACTATCTCTAAACAAATTCCCTTTGCCAATCCGAAGTTCTTTATCTTATTTTTTTATTTCATGCTTGCCGTTTGATACGGGGGTAAGGTAAGGTAGGTAAGGTAAGGTACCACGGACTCAAACATTCCGCCGCCACACGTGCATCAGTCAACAAACACATCAAACCTCGTCAAGATGAGCAGGTGGTTCAGATCAGCTACCAAGGGGACTGCTCCGATGGTAGCGGAGGAGGAGGACAGGCATCTACTACAGGTCGAGCAGGCACTACTCAGACTGCTCAACGATGACATTGTCGAGGCGGATAAGCTCCTGAAGCAGCAGGACTCTTCCTACCACCACCTCGGGCGTGGTATCTCGAGTTTCATCAGTTCGATGTTGGCGGCGGAGAAGGAGATCATGAAGGAGGCGGCGGCGGTGTTGCAGACGGCAGAGAATAAGACGTTCGTTTTTCTCTTTTTCTCTTTTTCTCTTCTTATTGGCCGAATATGGAAGTATTCTTGGGGATCTGTATTGTTGACTCGTGTTTGGTGTGTAGGTGGGAGGATATGAAGAGTGCACAGAGATCGCCTACGGCTTTCCAGTCTCAGATCTACCCGCCGGGGACGGAGTATCTTTTGTGCTACTCAAGTAAGTCGACCAAGTCACCTGGTCTGGTAGCTCTGATGACTCGACTAAAGATGTTCAAGTTAGTCAATTGACGAGCGCTATCTGCGCGGTGATGTCGGGGAGTGTTACCGGGGCCATGGGAGGCTTCTTCAAGTTACGCAAGACCTTCATGACTTTGCACGGCATTATGGATATCGAGGCGAAGTATCTCCAGCGAAGAGCTGCCTCCCGACGAGGCTCGGTGGCTTCTCGAGAAGACATTGGAACGCAGTCTGCCGAGGATATTGCCAATCTTGCTGCTGGTATAGACGAAGCATCACTTCAAGCTAGCAGCACTAAAGACCAGGAAAATTCATCTATTGAAGCTGTGGGCGCTCCCAAAGAAAGCACACATAGCGCTCCTTTAAGCCCGAACGGTCTCACTGTTGGATCCTTACAGCTTCCTGACAGGGTTGAGGGCAAGCTTCTTGATTTTGATCCAAAATCGGTTGGTATCACGTCTCATACGGACATTTTCATTCATTCTGGGACCAGAATGTGTTATGGGATGCTGCTGCTGGTCTTTTCCATGATCGAGAATCCAGTGTTTAACAGAATCCTATATAGTAATCAACTCCCAAGATCCGAGCCTTGACAGATACTAACATCTGTAGTCGTGGGATTCAAAGGGGACAGAGAGCTTGGAACTCGCTATCTCTGGCAGGCAGCCCGTTTCGACAACTTCAACAGTGCCATTGCTGGGATCGTTTTACTTGGATGTAAGGATAATGAGGCAGCAGCCCAACCCCCCTCCCCTCTTTCCCAGTTTCCTGCGGGCAACCCAATCACTGCGCCCAAGATAGTCGAAACCGAAATTTGCTAACTTTCTTATCTTTAGACTACAATGGTCTCAATGGATTCTGTGATATACTCCCCACAGACGAGGGGTCCGATGAAGACCTCTCGGGTTACCCCAAGGCTAGGTGTCACACTCTGCTCGCGGATATGCGACGCAGGTACCCGGAATCCAAACTCTGGAAAATGGAGGAGGCGAGAATGCTTTCAGCCAACAGAAACCTAGCCGGCTGCATCGAGATTCTGACCCAGAATCTCGAAAGCAAAATGAAGCAGATCGCCCTGATCAACATCTTCGAGCTTTCTCTTTCCACCATGTTCTCTCAGCAATACGAAATGTGTGCCAAGAGCTGGATTCAAGCATCGGAGATCAGCACCTGGTCACCTACACTGTACGCCTACTTGGCCGGTGTTGCATACCTGGAGTCTTACCGAAACGTACGCGTTAGCGACCCTGCTGCGGCAAAGGCTTTGAAGGAGAAGGCGACTGAGTTCCTGAGGAAAGCACCTCCGTTGGCTGGCAGTGAGTTAATCAACCAATCTTTCCTTCTGAGCCCTGATGCTAATATCTTATTTTTTTTTAAGAACAAAAAGTTATGGCACAACAGTTACCCTTCGATTCGTACATCACTCGGAAGATGCAGAAATGGGAGGAGCGGGTCAAAGCCTTGAAGGTGGATCTTGTCGATGCGATTGGGGTTAGTCCGCTTACAGAGATGGTCTATTTTTGGGGCGGTATGAAAAAACAAGATACCGTACAGTTGCAGCAGTCTCTAGACTGTTTGGCATGGAGCCGGACCAGCCATCCTGATAAGTTCGAGACTGATCTCGACGAGAAAGCCATAAAGGCGGTCCTCGAAGCCTGTATCCTTCGAAACTTGGGGAAGTACGCGGAAGCGAGAAGAGTGCTGGAGACCGAGGTCTTGGGCCATGACAAGTAGTGAACCCCTTTGAAGTTTTTGATAATCCGCTAACGCGTAGTAGGAACAAATTCAGGGGCCACCTCAAGGATGACTGGACATGCCCAAGTGCTCACTATGAGATGGCTGCCCTCGCATGGGCGGAAAAAGATCTCGAGGGTATGGACCATAACGAGAAGGTCCTTGAAAGTCAGAGCTGGCTCACCAAAACGCAACAATGGCCGGACTCGTACGTCCTGGATTCGAGAGTTTCTGTCAAAGTTTCAACCTCGGCTTTCACGATTGATCGCCACAAGAGGGTAATGGGGATCTAGAGGATCGTTTCGGCGGGGCAAGCATCGCATCGGAAGGAGTCATAGAATTTGGAAGTTCATGGAGCGATCCCAGGGCAAGCATGATCAAGGGTTGGGAAGCAAAATGGCCCTCGGCGGTGTTGCGAGGAAAGCCTGTTTGAATAAAAGAGATGAATTGACGACTTTTAGATTATTCACCATCAAGAGCCAAAAAAAACAAAAAAAAAAAAAATTTAATTCCAATCCCATCCTACCTTGACCCGAAAACAACTTTCTCTCTCTTTCCATGTAGTTGAACTCGGATCCGACTTCTACCTTACTCTTCTCCCATTCCTCCCTACTACCTACCCGTTACGGGGTAAGGGGTTCACGCAATAGTGAGTGAGTGACCTTTACTTACCCCGTCCCTAATCAACGCTATCCGCGGAAGAAAGAAAGAAAGAAAGAAAGAAAGAAAGAAAGAAACAAGCCTCCAAACCACCTCCCCAATCATGTTCCAGGTATCAATCCCATATCCCAGAATGAATCACATACGTGCGCTATCAAATCCTCCACCCTCTCCCTGCCCCTCCCCTCCCCTCCTATCCCTCACCTCTCGAAATTCGAACTGTCCCAGCGACCTCTCAGCTCAGCTCAGCTCAGCTCTCTCCTCCTTGGCCTCCTGCGCCGTACGTACCCAGCAGCCTTTTTATTTATTCTCTTTTCTTTTCTTTTCTTTTCCCTCCCTCCTCCCTCTCTTCACCTCCCCCTCCTCCCCCCCCCCCCCTCCTCCTCTCCCTCCCGCCGCAGCGCTAACCCCCCCCACCGCGACCCAGCTTCATCAAAGGCCACTCCCTCCTCATCGCCATCATCAGCACAGCCTTCTTCCTCACCCTCTTCCTCACCCTGCACCTCCGACGCGAGAACGCGCGCCGGGACCGCCGCGCGCGGGAGATCACCCCCCCCTCCCGGGGGTACTCGGCCGCGGAGCAGCAGGCGCACGCCGAGGTCGCGGACGACGCGCCCTGGTTCAGATATACGGTCTGAGACGAGGACAAGGACAAGTCGGTGCGCGTTTGGCTTTCAGTGGGGCGGGGAGCGGACGAGGAGAGATCGAAAGAGAGAGATCAAATAAGCAAGAGAGATCAAAAAAAAGAACACGGCTTTTCCATGCGCGCGCGACATCCGCCGACGGACAACCTACTACCTACCTACCTACCGTATCAGATCTCACGATCGCGTTTGGGCCTCGCGTCTTGGATCGAGACGAAGAGGGGGCTTGAGGTTTGGGTTTTCTCGTGCTGTGTGTGTGTGCTAGGTGGTGGATGAGAGATGCGACGAAAGCTTTTTTTTTGGGGGGGGGGGGGGAGGGGGGAGGGGGGATCGGTAGCAGGTCATATATACAATACAATACAATACGTACAAACCACTCACTACATCTCTCTTCGTTTGATTCTTCAGAATGGTATTTCATGTTGGGTATGAGGTTATGTGATGGGGATTGGTGGTGGAGGCTTTGAGTCGAGACGGGATTTTTTGAGTTGGAGAAGAGAGGGGTTGAGGGGGGGGGAGAGTTGGAAAAGGGGATTGGGGATGTGGTTGGTGGTGGTATGTGTAGGGAGGTAGGGAGGGGTTGTTGGGGGTTGTTAGGGTTTTGTTGTGTTTGTTTGTTTGTGTGTATGTGTGTGTGTGTGTGTGTGTGTGTGTGTGTGTGTGTGTGTGTGTGAGGAAGGGGAGTTTGGGTAATGGGGGGAAGAGGCTGGCGCTTTAGATGAGAAGAAGGTATCGCTTGGAGAAGTTGATACGGATGAGATGGAGGCCCATTTAAGCGAGCCGACGATGACATGGCTTGTGAATGAATGGATGGTACGGGTAATGGGCGCTCGGGCGCATGGGCCGCTGGGTAGGGGCTATATGTTACCTCGCATTGGAGAGAGCTTCTATAGAGACAACGGTCCTTCCGACAAGCTATTCTAGCTATTCAGCTAGACGCCGACCCTTCGTCGGCTTCAGGCGCCATTCGCCGTCCTCGATCCTCCTCTCAGGCCATCTCAGCTCATCGCCAGATCCGATGATGACGTCCACCTTGTGTATCCGCTTCCCCATCTCCACGGCCACCTTCACGGACGCCGAGACGGAGAGCCCACTGCGCAGCCATCGAGAGATCCGGTCCGCTTTCCTGCCAATCCCAATCTCCCGCGCGCCGGGGAATTCCGCGCCCGACAAGCGCTGAGAGGGATTGAGCGGTAAGACGATGTCGACCCACAGCCGGTGATCCGTCATCCCGATGGCGAGATCGAAGACGCCAAAGTCCTCGTTCGTGAAGAACAGCTCGGTGATCTCGCCGTTGCGCACGCTTCGGCGCACGAGAGGTGCGGCGACGTCCTCCTGCGTCCAGCGCACGACGTCCTCGGGCGTCGATCGCTGCGACGGATGGAAGCCGCACTCGAGCAGCGCGAGGGTGGGAACGGAAATCTGCTCTAGCGGCCACGGGTCCCGCTCCGCAGGAGACGGCTGTCGCGGCTGGAGACTCGGCTGCTGCGGGAAGAAGATGATCGTCCGGTGGCCAAAGAGGGGCTTCCGCGCCTTGTAACTGAACATCTGGTTCGATCGCCGGCCTTCCCACTCGGGAGTCTGAAAGAGCCCCTCGCTCGCCAGCCCCGATCCGGATTTCGTGACCTGGAGGGTGATGAAGTGGTCATCTTTGCCCGCCCCCTTCGCACAGTTCAGAGGCGCCAATTGCACGTCGTAATCCGCATCTGGCCCCTGCAAGAGGATCAGCTCCATCCGCAGCCCTCTGCTGGTCATGGCATGGGGCGGCCGCGCAGCATCGAACACAGCTCTGCGCACGTCACCTGACCGTGCGAAATAAGCCGGAGCGTCGGCCAGCAGGCCTCCGCCGCCCATATGATGGCTCCATGCGAAAATGGACTCGTCGTCCGTCTTGCCGATGATCTCCTGCTGCAGGCGGAGGAAAGCGTTCGCTGCGCCCTCTCCGTACAGTATCGGCATGTTGACGTCGAAAAGGCCCATCAAGCAATAGGCCTCGTCTTCCGCCCGCGTCGTCGCCCGGCCCGCGGCCCAGGACATCTTCTGCGCCACGCACGCGTCTTGGAAATCAAACAGGTGGGTGATGCTGGTGATCACCACGATCAGGTCCTCGAGGCTCGACTTGGTCCCGATCTCCGTCCAGTCCCGGGCGTAGAACTCCACCCGTGGCGGCGCGAGCAGCTCCTGCAGCGTCCAGCCCCGACGGAACCACCTGCTCTGCCGAAAGCCGGAGCCGGGCTCGAAGGGGTCCTCAAGCGCCGACGGGACATCAGACAGGAAGACGTAGCACACCTGCGCGTCCCGGTACCAGGCGAACATGGCATTGATCGCCTCCGACACTTCGGCGCCGCAGCTCCGGTCGATGCAGCAGGTGTCTATCCACTGCCCGAAATAGTCAACATCTCACTTTCAAGGTTTCTTTCTTTTCATTCTTTCCTCTTCGCACATCAGTGATCTTTCTTCCTTTTTTTCTTTTTTTTTTTCTGCGTGCTCAGTAGTCGCGTGATTGAAGAGGGAAGGCGGGACATATGTGTGTAAAAGGAACGTACTATATATTCCCAGCCGTCGCGCGCGGCTTGCGAGCAACAGCCGATTATCTTTATCCAGCCCGCCCTCTCCGGCCCCAGTCCGCTCTGCATGTCGTGGAAAGTCACCTCGCCGTCCTCCCACCGATGAGAAAGGATTGCATACAGCGGGACATCCCGGCCCGGAAAGTCGTGCAGAAGCAATGTCGAGGTGTTGATTAATCGCATCATGCTGTATGTATGTATGTATACATGTATATATTTGTATATACATACATGTATATATATATATATATATATATATATATATATTCACGCGGCTCGGCTCGGACCGGTGCTGAGCGAGAGAGAAAAAAAAGGGGTGAGGGGAGAGGGGGAGAGAACTCGCTCAGCAAGTAACAAGCGAGGTCTCTCTCTTTTCTTTTTTCCCTTTGGAATCAAACAGACGAGAAGAGATTCGCGGCCGGGAAATGCATCGCCAGTGGGAAGCAGCGGACGAGAAGGACAGATTCCAAAGAGTATCGGTAGGTAGGTATGCCCAAAGGTTGAAGGAAGGCAGGAGGCAGAGGAGGAGGAGGAGGAGGAGGAGGAAGGAAGGAAGTGGAGATGCTGCACGCTGCAGGAAGACGTGGTGCGAGCGAGCCAGGGGCCCTGCCGGATCCCATTTCAAGCGAGCTGCGAGCCATCCGTATAGGTACCGCTACACATAGTAGTACTACCTACCGGTATACCCCTTTTCGGCGGTGACTGGGTGAGTTGTACCGGTAGTATATCCCGTTCGCCCACCGCACGATCATCCACGGGGGCTGGGAAAGGACAGACCTCGTCGGCCGGGCGCGTGCAGTAGGAAATAGGAAATAGGAAATAGGAAATACGTAGCGCGTAGGTGCGGTGCCACTTGGTGTATCCCAAGTCCTCGGAATCGGAAACTCGACAGGCGGAAGGAAGGTTTGCGGGTGCGAGTCGCGGGCGGGCGTAGCGAGCACGTGTGTGCTTTGGAAAGTGGTCTTTTCTTTGGATGCATACGGAGTAGGTTGTGCGTATGGGAAAGTTACGTATATATATATATATATATATATATATATATATATATATATATATATAAAA